GGGGAGGCGGAGGGGGTGGCAGAAGGAAAGGCTGAGGAAGGGAAGACCGAGGGGCGGCGAAGCGGGAGGGGAGGTTGCGAGGAACGCTGCCGCCGCCGCCGCCGCCGAGTTTTCAGCCGCCCTGTTGCTGCTGCTGCTGCCGCCGCTGCCGCCGCCGGCCGGGCAGCGCCTCACGGGGCCGGCTGCGCTCCGCTGTCGCTGCGACGCTCGCTGCTGCTGCTGCCGGCGGCCGCTCTCTGCAGCCGCGCTCCATGTCCCTCGGCTCGGCGGCAGCCCCAGCAGCGGCGGCGGCGGCGGCTGCTGCAGGCGCCGAGGCGGCGGCTCCACATCGCGCGCCGAGCAGCCGGGCGAACTCCTTCCTGCCTCCCTCAGCTCCTCCCGCTCACCGGGCCGGCCGCACCCCGCCCCGGGCTTCCGGCCGCGCCCCCTGTCCCCGCCCCTTGCCGGCGCCTGACGCGCGCGGGCACCTGTTCGCCGCGCCCGCGCGGGATTCGCCGGCTCGCGGGTCTCCTCAGCGGCGCCCAGGTGGCGCCGGCGGCCTTAACCCCTGCGCTGCCTCAAGCCCGGGGATGGCTGCGCGCGCCTCCTGGGGAGGCGGCTGGCGCATCCCTAACGGTCGGGGCGGTTCCCCAGCGCGGCCACGCCCCCCGGCCTCGCGCCCTCGGTCGGGTGTTGGGCCCGCCCCCAGCATGATCACCTCGGGGTGTGGCCTCGCTCTCACCTCGGAGCACGGCCCCGCCCCCGGCCTCCTTCTCACCTCGATGCGCGGCCCCGCATCCGGGCTCGCGCCCACTCGTGGGCTAGGGCGTTTCTCCGAGTCCCGTGGGGATCAGTTTTCTCGCGCCTTAGGTGGTCTCCAAGAGGAGTGGGGACGTTCTTCCAAGGCCGAGCCCTGACAGAGACTCGTGGGCACGGATTTTTGGTCTGGGCCCCCGCCAGAGCTAAGCAGACTGGAGAGGGAGCCCTAGACAGCAGGAGGGGGAGAGATGACTTCAGAAACCCGGCATTTTAATGATGATGACTCAGGGATACGAGGGACCAGATGCCTTCGAGATCAACAGCCCCGAAAGAAAGGGTTATGTTGAGAAAAAACTGAAAAAACGGCTCACAGATGGGAACATGAAGCAAAGAATTGCCGTGATAATGACTTCTGTGTATTAGGTCTTAGTATGTGCCGTGGCTTGTGCTGAGTGCTTTGTGCGCCTTACCTTAGATAATCCTAACAAGAGCCTGTCAAGTAAGTGCTGTCGCTCTTTCCATTTTACCGGAAGGAAATTGAGGCAACGAGAGGTGGAGTTATCTGCCCAAGTCATCACATCCAGGCAGGCTGAGTCCAGGGTTCCCGTAAATCATTATTCTTTACTTTCCTCGCCCGTGAGAAGTCTCGAGGAAGAGAAATGCTAATTTGTAACCAAGATGGCTGGGTGGATGTAGAAGGTGGTATCAGGAAGCTTCCTGCAAAGATCAAAACAAGAATTGAAAGCCTACTGGGAGACTCCAGGCAGTTCTTGCTCTGACCTCACTGGTGATGCTGTCTCCTATTTTCAGAAACAATCCCATCTGAAGCTAGAATTGGTCCCTATTCTTTTCTTTTCCTCTTGAAAACCCATTTTTGAGTTAGATCATACCCTGATTATTTTCATCACAGCGAGGTGGAAATTTCAGGACACCAAGAGGCTGAAATTGGTCAAATGGCTTCTGGTTTTTATTCTTTATTAAATTTAGAACCCATCAATATTCTGGTGTAGACATGAGACTGAACCTCAGGTCTGGTTTTGGTTGCTTGTTGATTGGAAAGGAGACAGACAAGGAAGGGATTCCCTCGTCTATCTAAAAGCTAAATTTAGGAGGTTGATCATGGTACTGTTCCAGCAGCAATGGATTGTTCTAACATCTTTTATTATACCCCTTGAGCAGAAATTGTGGGCCCATGGTGAGATCCAACTGCAACTCCCTTTGGTCTTTTTTGGTCACAAAAGGACAAATTTCTCCCTAACCTACTTTATAGAGAAAGAAATATCAAGAGCAAACGGGATTCCCAATCAAAAAGAGTTTCAGAGAGGGAAAAATCTTTCTGATGTCTTTAATGAAGCATATAAGTTTAATATCTACACAGATAGTAATATTATGTAGGCATATAGATGTACAAAAAAGGGGGGATCAGCTCTTTATTTTTCCTTGATGCGGACTTGGCAGCCTATGTTTCCTGAAAGGTCTTTGAATTACCTTTCTTGAACTCAATGGCTCTACTCTATTAGACTTACCTGTTACTGTGAGAATGAACTACAATTAACTCTAGCTCCTGAAGATTCTTCTAAACAATGTTCCCCCACCTAAACAGACTGGGAGGTGATAATTTCCTATTGTAGATTTGCCCTAAGCCCTATCTTTCTGTAAACAGTCAAAGGAGAACAGCTCAAGTTTGGAGAACTATTTAGAATCGTGGTTGTTACAGTTTTTCGTCTCACAACCTCTTTATACTCTTAAAAATTACTGAAGATCTCAAAAACCTTTGTATAGATTTAGATATTTATATTTACTTACACAGTAAAAATTAAAACTGAGAACATTTAAAAACATTAATTCATGGGGCACCTGGGTGGCTCAGTAGGTTAAATATCTGGCTCTTGATCTCAGCTCAGGTCTCGGTTGTGAGTTCAAGCCCCACGTTGGGCTCCACCCTGGGCATGGAGCCTACTTTAAATAAATAAATAAATATACTTAGAATAAATTTGTTACATGTTAATATAGTGTATTTTATGAAAAAACACATATTCCCAAATAAAAAATGAGTGAGAAGAATGCCAGTATTTTTCATTTTTACAAATGTCTTTAATGTTTGGCTTAGTAATAAAAAACTGGATTTTTATATCTGCTTCTCCTTTGATATAGTGATATTTTGTTTAAATTGAAATATACAGAGGTGGGACGACTGGATGGCTCAGTCGGTTAAGCATCTGCCTTCAGCTCAGGTCATGATCCCAGGGTACTGGGATCAAGCCCCATGTCGGGCTCACTAGGGAGCTTGCTTCTCCCGCTGCCCCTCCCCCTGCTAATGCGCATGTGCTCTCTCTCTCTTTCTCTCTCTCTCTCTCAAATAAGTAAGTCAAATCTTAAAAAAAAAAAGGAATGTACAAAGGAAATCTGGTCTCACAAAGATGTAGTTGAGAAAAGAAGGAATGTTTTAATAGCCTTTACAGATCTCTGTGAATTTTTCTCTTTGATATTACATCAAAACTCGGCAAGTAATAGCTTCTTAAAGGTTAGTTGCCATGTGCAATCTAAAACCTTATCAAGGAGGGCGCCTGGGTGGCTCAGTTGGTTAAACGACTGCCTTCGGATCAGGTCATGGTCCCGGAGTCCTGGGATCGAGTCCCACCTCAGGCTCCCAGCTCAGTGGGGAGCCTGCTTCTCCCTCTGACTCTCTCCCCTCTCATGCTGTTTCTCTCTCTCTTGCTCTCTAATAAATAAATAAAATCTTTAAAAAAAATAAATAAAACCTTATCAAGGAAATGCACTAATCTATATTTCATTTTGAGTGTATCTTTTAGCCATGTATGATTGATTCTGTAACAGCACATATTGGTCATTTGGAAAATGTCGGTTCACTAAGCTATACAGATCTTCCAAATATTGTGACATGTCATTATAGTATATTTAAAAAAATCGCAGTTATTAATATCATCACTGATCTCATCAGAAAAGTCTTCAAGTATTGGCAAGCTATCAAGCTCACTGAGGTGGATATGAGTTTTTCAGAATTCTAATTTCCACTGAAAAGCTCCAATCTTATCCTTGGTACAATATTGTCAATTATTTTCCTTGAAGTAACAGACTTGCTTCATTAATTTTTGAGAAAATATCACCAGATACACAAATCTGAATACCATAGTTTGTCATTCATTCATTCATTCAAGTAAGGCAGGTGTTTCATGACAAACATGGCTAGTTCAGCTCATAACTCAAATCGTGGTACAAGTGCTTTATCTTAAGGCAAACATTGTATTTGGGTATACAGCTGAGTGCTTTATGGGTACTTCCCATTTCATCACATGGACTATTAAAATATGTACGTGCTTGCTTTGGTAGCACATATACTAAAAAAGAGTTATACTCAAGGAATAAGGATTTAATAAAAGTACTGCTTCATCAGGGACATTCCTAAGTGAAACTAGTTTGTTTTTTTTTCCCCCTGTGAGCACATGCTAGTGAAGAATAGCAGTTAACTTTGGTACCACTGTCTTGATTCATGCTAAGGTATCATTAGTGTTATCCACCAATGTTTTCACCCCATCAGTGCAAATGTCAATGCAGTGAAAAATGAAGATAGTTATTAGACAATTAGTATTACTAAGAAATTAGTTTTGCTATTAATTAATAAAGTTAGAATTACTAGAATTGCAATTATTATGAAAAGAGTGTTTATTTCACAGATTATCTGAAAGGGTCTTCGGGACCTTCTGGAGTTAGTGAATCACACTCAGAACTGTTGGTTTAGAGCCATTCAAGACCCTCAGGTCGGCCTTGACCTAGAAGAATGAACAAGGACCTTGCCTAC